CCTCAGTAGAATCCATATTCTGTCAGTTATGTTCCACTCTGTGAATAGGATATAAGGTGAAAGAAAGCAGTCCTAGGTGAAAGACTTGTTTGGTGTTTTCCCTTTCTAGGAATACACAAGGTGATGCAAGCTGGCTCACAGTGTACCCCTTTACGTTCTAGTTCTAGAAGGCTAGATTGTGGTGTGAGGGTCACAACTGAAGAACATTTATTAGGCACTCCTGTTCTTTCCAGACAATTGACTTCTATCAATCTCTAGGGCATAAGTGTCCTGAAATTTCACTGTTTGCCATGTCTTTTTCTTCTAAGTATCTTTGTAATATTTCTAGGTTTTTTTGTACCTAATTTAATGCCTTAAGGGATGTTTCCACTCTGGATGGGGTCAGGATTTTGCACCTTGCATTTTGAGCATGGCGTGCAGCATTTTAGATGCTGTTCCTTCTGCCATATTCTGTGAAGAGTTTATTCACATGATCTACAATTTCTCTGCTCATTTTGTATGCAATGTGAGTTTTACAGCAAGTTAAATGATGAAGCACATGCGACTGACAGGTGGATTTTGTTGCCCTCTCCCTCACCTTCCAGAGTTAAATGTCCTGACACCACATTTAAAGGCTACCCGAACACCCAAACTAAAAGGGCTTTGTTCTCAGTGATGTGCAAAAAAAATGTCCTCCCATAAAAGCAAATGGCCCGTTTCAAACTCACACAGGAGGTCAGTACCTTAAGCAGGCACCAAAGAATTGGCACCCAGTGTAGGAAGGGGAAGAATGATCCTCTGCTAAGGATCTCATTGAGTCAAGATTTCTCTTTTGTTCATTGATTATTCTATTATCAGCCTGAGTTCACAACTGTGTGGCAGAACCGCTTACTTTTGTATCCCTATGAGGCATGTCTTGAAGCAGACATACTGTTTGACCATTTTTCACTATCATGCTCTGAATTCGGGCCTTAGCCATAGGCCTTACAGCTGTATCCTATGACAGTAAGATTGCAGTGAGAAGACAGTGACACTTATCCTTTTGGAGTGCAGGTCATTCATCTGCTTCCGAAGAAATCATACAGGACTTGTAACATTTCTCTGTCCATGGGTGCTGCCAGACCTGCTGAATTTCTCCAGCATTTTCTGAGTTTGTTTCAGATTTCCAGCATCCACAGTATTTTACTTTTATATCCATTATCTCTCTAGCCATCTCCTTCGATACATTATAATGAAGCTCATCTGGTCTAGTGGATTTATCAATTTTCAACCTAATCAACTTTTCAAGTAGTACAGCTTCACTAATACTATTTTAGTTCTTCAGTTTCAAAATTACTTTGGTCACCTAGTGTTTCTGGGAGATTCTCTATTTTCTTCCTTGAGGTCAGACATAAAATAATTGTTTTGCTTCTCCATCATTTCCTCGTTCTGTACTACAAATGTTCCTATCCCCACCTATAATAAACCCACATTTGTCCATGCTTATCTTTTCCTTTTCATATACTTAAATAAGTTTTCACGGTCTAACATTATGTCCCTTGCTAATTTATATTCATACCTCCTTTTCCATTTCTAAACCCATTACTTGGTCCTCCTTAGTTTGGTTGTAGGCTGTTCTCAATCCTCTGCCTTTCCACTTGCTTTTTGATATCTTTATCAGTGACTTCCTTTGGTGTTGGATGATCTTTAATTTATTTCATTCACCAGTGCTAATTTACCTTTGGGTGTTCATGCATTAGAGAAATGTAATTTGTTGTTGACCATGCAGTGTTACTTTCAATACTAGCCATTACCTATTTATCATCAAATATTCAAGGATATTTTCTCAAAACACCATAACCAACCTGCCCTTCATACCTTCACAATTTCTCTTCTTCAAATTTAAGATGTAAGTTTCAGAATTAAATTCAAACTTAATGAAAAACTATCATACGATGATTACTATTTCTCAAAACATCCTTTACAGCGAAGCATATTGATTAGACACTGTCTTTAATTAAGCTTCATCAACATTATTTTCTATTCCAATGTTATTCAATGCATGCCTAGGCTTCATCTGTCTTCTATTTTTGCTTTCTACACTTCAACTTCTATTTATCAATTTGGCTTTCTTCAAATCTCAGATCCTTCTCAGGTTCACATCTCACTAGCAATATAGTTCAAATGATGGAGGTGCTGGTGTTGGACACGGATGGACAAGGTCAGAAATCACATGCCACCACGTTGTAGTCCAACAAGTTTATTTGAAATCACAAGCTTTCAGAGTGTTGCTCCTTCATCAGGTGAAGTGGAGGCAAGTGCACAAGCACTGAATTTATAGACAAAGATCATTCCAAGATAATTCTAGGTAATTAAGAGTGTCAAAAGATAGTACAAATTGTGCGATTGGAGTATTGACAGGCTGAATAACAAATCTTTACAGGTGATCAAAAAAGTTAAAAGGTGTGAGTAAAGTGTCAATAGCTGAATAACAAGTGAAGGGATGGCCTATGATTGGCTTAATTAAGGCAGAGACATAATTACAAAAAATAAGAAAAAGATGGTGCTGGAAATAAACCAAATGGCTGGGATAACATGATAGAATAATTAAGAATGAGATGTTAACCGGCCCATGGTCCTACTTGCACCAATTTCTGTTTACCCTTCACTCCTGCACTTGTCAATTTGTATTAGTTATCTCTTGACCAAAAGTTCTCTTGTTTTGAAATACTTCCATGGCCTCATCCTATTTGTAATCTCTTTCGGTGCTCTACCCCTCCTAAGATATCTGTATTCATCCAATGCTAGCCTCGTGTCCCCAATTTCTATTGCACCATTAGTGGTGATCATAACTTCAGGTTTCAAAGCTCTAAATATTGGCATTCTAAATGTCTTTCCCTTTATAATTTATACTTTTGACCAAGGTTTTTAAGTCAGCTATACTACATTACATGGACTGTGCAGGAACTTCCATGTACTTCCAAACCTTTTGTTAGATCACTGCTAATATAAGCTTTAACATCATAAACTGTCTCAAAACATTATCAAATAATACATTCTCAACTGCATTGAATTATTTCAGAAATCAACTCAATGTGTTTTGCTTTTGTAAAGACTTATTGCTCTGCAAAGATCCACAAGAATCAACTCAAAATAAGACAGATCTTGAAAATTTATATCAAGATTAAGTCTATATACAAATTCAAGTCAAAGTGAGATACAGGTGGCAGCCTTTTACCTCATTCCTATTCTTTGCTGTGATTTACCCCATATTCCTGTGATTTTTTTTTTCCCTTTGAAGTACTAATCAATTCTCTTTGGTTACTGACTTCACTTACACCACCTTTTCAGATCACAAAAGGTGTTCCCTCACTCTGGCTACTTAGCTAATTATCTTAACATTTTTTGTTGCTTACCCATTGCTACACACTTTCATGGAGTTATGATTGTCACCAACTCCTTGATCCCTGAAAAGGACCTTGTCTGGCCCCAGCAAACCTGTTACATTTATGGACAACCTATGCTATAAATGGCACTGCAGGACTGTCAGTGGCCTGTGTTGCTGGTGGCAACAGTAGTGCCAGTACTAAAATATTGGCCTCAGATTATTCATTTGCTTTTGCAGTCAAACTTGTTCAGACATGTTACAATTATACAAAGTAATGTTCACTATTTAAGATTTGACAAAACAATTCATTATAAACATGACCACCACCTGTCAAAAAACAGGTTAATGATCTACAGCAGGACCTTCATACTCCAGCAAGACTTTCAGGAGGCAATTCCCCTCAGGAGCCAGGGACCCTGATGCCAACCCAGGTAGCTGCCCACATGGTCAGAAATCATATTGGGCTTCCTGGAAGTTTTAGACCATTTAAGTTTTTAAATTTAGCTGTAAATTCAGTCATAAAGTCTCCAAGTGAGCAAACAGTTGGACTGAAAGTATTTTTTCCACTGGCTGCTACCCCACCCCACCTGAGGAAGTTATACTTTTGATTGCATACCTCTGCAAGAGCACATTTTGCTCAAGCCCTGGAGATTACATAACCTAGCCCCCTTATTTCTCATTCTTCCTTTCCCTTGAAAGGAATGAATCTACTTCAAAAGCTGTTTACAGTGGTTAGCTAGAAACATTTATGTAAGCATAACAGGGATTGTCTGATGTAGCTTTTATTTTGCAGGATTTATTTAGTGCAGATGCAGGATTACACATTATGGAGATAGGTATTCTTTGTGTACAAGCATTTTTGTTTTTTGAATTTCAAAACAGATGAAAGCATTCAATTAACTGTGAATGGCTTCCGCCCCCACCCCCCTCCTTTTTTTGCCAAAGTCTTTCTGGAATAAAAAGCTATCATTTGTCATAAATCAAGTTAATGTGGAACCCAATGGAATTAAATGGAAATTTAGATAGGAGGAGCATGCAAGATTAGAAGAATCCAGGATTGAACAAATTTAAATTCAGAAAGTACCATGGTTCAGTTTACAACCAGGTTAATTTTTTTCTCCCCTCCTAGGAAATGGACAGTTAATGACCAGTTACTTCAGCAGAAGGTTTAGCCTGTGGGACTTTGGCCAGTACAGTTAGAAATCTCCAGTTATTAGAAATGGAGAAAAAGTTGAGGCTCAGGTATGTGACTAGTTCACTGACAGATTTGGAAGTGATTCAAACCATCTTCTGTGAATAGCAAGGAACCATAACGCCCCAAAAAAAGTTCTAACAATGTTGTTCTCTGTAACAGACAAAAGGTTGGAGAAATATCAGACACCAGATTGGAAGAAACAAAACAAAAAAAGTTGAAATATTCTGAATTCTCATTGCATGAAAGAATTCTTTTGTCCTGCTGTTAAGAAAATCTGCAGCCTCTGAATGTCTCTGACAACCATGTTAACCAGCCAGAAAAATAACCAAGCCAGGTTGTGTTCTGGGAGCAGACTTGTCCAGTGCTGCCATGATTTATGGCAGAATTACAGCACTGCTAGTTAATTCTATCATGATTACTACCTTCCACGAAACCAAAAAAAAATACTTTATTCACAAATTTCAAAGCTTAGAGTTTATTAAACAATTGACACATTAATAAAATGTATGCTTTTTCAAAATATACACAAGTTACTTCAGACAATATCAAGTGAAATGATCAAAGCTTCAAGCCAACAGATCTGCAATTAAAAATTAATACATTTACAGCTGTTTCCTTGCAGGATGCTATTGCATAATTCTACCACATTACAAAGTGTTAGCCAACATTCTCCAAATGCCAAGAGAAAGAACAAAAACTGTCATTTTATTTTAGAAGGTGTTCCAAATGTCAGGAAATTCCATTAGTATTAAAAAAATAGAAAAATTAACTTCATGACACATTGGCAAACAAACATTGTTACAAGCATGCAAGATGATTGCTAAAGAGAGTTTCATTAACATGTACTCTACTATCCCAAGCCAAAACAGTGATTACAAAGACTTTCTAAAAAAAATGAGTTTGCTTAAATCAGATTATAGTGTAAAGATCAACCATTCAACATTGCAGCACAGGCAAGGCTATAATAATTTTCTTCCTCTCGTTTATAAATGTAGAAGCAAAAGAGGTCACCGACAGGTTCACATGTAATGTTGCAGTACATGTGCATTTTCATGAAATTCACTGAGCAGGCGTGCTGGTCTAACAAATTGATCAGTTGTTTTCTTGAGTAACAGTCTCTGTCTGCAAGTCATAGGAGCAAGAAAAATTAGACTATGAAAACTTGTTGTCAATTGCAAGTTGTTAGTGATTTACAATTTATTGCTTAAACCAATAATTGGTTTTGTTTTTAAAAATCCATATTTATCCTAAATGATTGGCTGAAAATGGAGGAAAATCCATGATAAAATTGTGGACCAAGAACAAAATATATCCAGAGCCTTCTGCCATTTGATAGGTGACAAACCTAATTGGCTGAAGACTAATATTTATGGACAGCAGCTTTGGAATAGGCCAGGTAGGAAGAAAAATCATCCACCTCAGCACTTCTGGATGGAGAGTGTGTCACAAATGCCTTGGCCAAATCCTGTTTTGGATTTATTTAAAATTTTAAGTTAATAAAATCAAAACTAGTATAAGACAGCATAGATGTTAACCTATTTTCCAGGAAACTCAATAGTCAATTGTTCATTTAGTTAAATTTTAAAAAAAAAAAAAAAGAAAGTTCAACTTAAACACAGGCAGTTTCCAAATTTTACTGCAAAGCTATAAACTGAAGAGTGATCATGGAAAATAGTGGAGAAATACATTAGTTAACATGCTGGGAGGCAATTTCCTCCCAAAGGTGAGTGCAAGAATGGGGAATTTTATTTGGGCCAGTGAAAGTTAGAATCAAGTCAGGGGCATGGTTTTCCTATTTGGGCTCAAATTTTCAGAATACCACTGAGGCACAGATTGCCTATTTGGGGAAAAAAAACCAAAAACATTTTATTAAAAACAAAGCAGCTAGAAAAAGGTCAGAATTAAATTACTGTGTGTACAGGATGGGCTAAAATTGATTATATTTGACAGCTGCATGACCTTTAGTGAGTCCAGTGAATATTCCTGTATGTGCCAAAGACAGCACAAACAAATTTGTTTTTCTGTACTTGCTGTTTGTTACACTATAACAGTTTAATTTTGAGTCGTCAGACTTCACCTTGGACCAGGATCACGAACCATGCCAGGATTGCACTTGAGCCTCCAGACCAACTGTCGATTGAGGAACCCCCAGTGGGCTGAGGAGCACGAGGCATATTTTCCCCCCCTTCCCATTTTTATTGTTTAGTAAAAAA